TGCGGTGTAGCCGCGCGCTCCCGTGTGCGTGCGCGTGCGCGTGCGCGCGCGCGCCCGTGCGCGGTTGGGTTTCGCTGCTGTCACCTCGGAGCGCGCTTGTGCTCGGTCCTCGCAGATCAGGCCTGTGCTGAAACCTCTAAGCTTAACCTCTGAACTAACCGGGCTGTTGATCCCGGGTGTGCGGTGCGAGTTACGCCCGGTCTCTCGGCTCACCGGAGTGTTTCCGCTTCCGGCGGCGCGGCCGAGCAGCTCGTCGCTTGATGTTCTTGAGTCTGTGTGTCCCGAGAGCGTGCGGCGCAGTCATGGTCCGAGGTGGAGCGGCGCAGTCTTGTACGACCGTGTGCAGTGTGTTAGGTCCGAATGTGAAACGGACGCATTTCCTTCTTAGAAGGCCTTCACAAGTGGTTGTAGAAACGGCGAAGGGAGGGAACCCTGCGTGTGTAGGTGAGCTGTGTTTGAACGCAGTGACTTAGCCTTCTTGGCACAGTTGAATTGAGTACAATACTGAGAAGGAATGCAAGACGCTGTCCATTGTCAGGCTTTGGTACGTTGAGATCTTTGGAGGAAGTTGTTCTGTGCTTTCTTAGCTGAGTGGGCGATAAATAGACTTTAACTTTTCTTTGCGAACAAAGCCTTTGGTTTGCAAAGCTTAAAACGTATGGCATTTGCCGTGCTCCCCTTTTCAACGTCTAGAATAATTATAGACAAGATGAGTAATTTATAAATGTGCACGATTCTGATTGGCAGAATCTTCCATCCTGTGTTAGGGGTGGGAAGGTTTGAGGGACTCGGGACTTAATTTGGGTTTGTCGGTGGGCTTGGGGCCTCTCCGACCAGATTGAGCTTGAATTTCCTGAGGGTGCCTGGGGCGCAAAGCTGTCGGGCCGTGGAGCGGAGCCGGGTGTTCACACCAAGGCAGGCGGGCAGGGCTCTGCGGCCTGCTGCTGGGGGACTTTCAGCGCGGGGCAGCCGTGCTTTGGGAGGACGAAGAATTGCACCCTGAAGAGGTGTAACTGGTGTATGTTTTGTTTTCTCCTGAACAGCTGAGCCCCCTATGGGGGTCGGCAGGCAGCAGAGAGGACCCTTTCAAGGCGTTCGCGTGAAGAACTCAGTGAAGGAGCTCCTGCTGCACATCCGAAGCCATAAACAGAAGGCTTCTGGCCAGGCTGTGGATGATTTTAAGGTGGCGCCTATTTTTTTTTCTTTACTTTGGAGTGGGTTAGGGAGGAGATAGTATGGTAGGTCCAGTGAGTTTCTTGCAGTTCCTCGTCGCAGAAGACCAAGTGTGTAGGGGAGAGCGTATTTGCTTTGCCGTCTACTGTGTTCTTATCAGGGGGCCCGGTGCCAGGCACCTGCAAAGTGTGCAAAAAAAATATAATGAGTAAGTGAGAGCAATTTAGGGGCAAGGAAATAAACGGGGCTCAGTGAAAATGGGACATTTTAACTGGAAAGGGGAAGATCACATGGCCTCGTAAATTTCGTCTTGACGAGTTGAACCGAGGTGAAAGTGAAATGGGGGTGCCGGCGGAGTAGCTCAGTCGGAGGCTGTGGTGGGCCGCGAAGGTAGCAGCACGTCTTTACTGATGTATTTTTAGAAGAAAACCATTTTGTATACAGTACACTGAAGGTTTTTTTCTTACAGACACAAAGTGTGCACACGGAGGGGTTCACAGGTGAGCGTTACTTCTATTCAGACTTTCACTGGCGCTGTACAGAAATTGAGCGTTGTTGTGGATAAAATGTGTACAGAAAAGTGATCACAGATCTCACGTCCCTTTCTTGGGTGCAGAACTGAAGAACACAGGATCGTACAGTGGGAAAAGGAAAGGCCTTGATTTCCTGTCTGATGGACCAGCTTGCAAAAGGCCAGCCCCGCTACATACCCAGTTTTTGGTAAGTAGCTCAGTTTCCCCCTGAATACCCTGCAGGTACCGCTTTTGGGGTAATTTTATTATTTTTATTTACATTTTGGGGCTAGGGATCCAAGCAGCAGAGCATGTGCTATATATACACTGAGCTACACGCGCGCGGCCCCTAGAATGATTTTAGGAGGGAGTCAGCGTGCCGACTGCATGTTGTTTCTTTGCAGACACCACCTCAGACACCTACCCCTGGTGAGAGCATGGAAGATGTTCCCCACCGGGAGCCTAAACCGGACAGCAGCGGCGACCTGCTGCAGAGCATTATGAACCTTAAGAACGAATGTAGCTCGGTTTCCCTGAACACAGTCCAGGTTAGCTGGATGAGCCCAGTGCTGCCGCAGAGCGCGCCCCGGGAGCAGTGTCAGGACTTCCGTGGAGGGCAGGTGTCCTCTTCACCGCAGAAGTACCAAGCGTTCCAGGTCAGCGGCTCTCCGCAGGTGATGGACCAGGCCCCCCCGTACCGGTACTGTCCACAGAGCCAGAGCGTGGAGCAGCAGCAGCAGTACGTGCACAGCCCGTGTCTGGAATACAGTCCTTACTTTGGAACGTCCCAGTCCCCCAGCTATGAGCCAAATCTCTTCGACAGTCAAGAGCCACAGTTCTTCCCGAACCAGAGTTTCACGTCTCTCCTGAGTGGTCACGGCGATCCCGAGAGTGGGGCTGCTCCCGTTCGGACGTCCCCCCGCGTCCTGCAGCAGGGTGACGCTGCCCTGCAGAACTTGGGCCCGGCGCCGGACAGCGCCTGCCGCGCCTCCGTGAACGCCTCGCTGCCCTTCCCGAGCGCCTTCGGGAGCCCCGTGAGCACCGCTCAGCTGGGGAAGTCGTTTTTTCAGTGGCAGGTAGAGCAAGAAGAAAGCAAGCTGGCAAACGTTCCCCAGGACCAGTTTCTTTCCAGGGATGCAGACGGCGACACGTGAGTGCCCTTTACGGCCGGCGGATCGGGGGCCGCAGGGCGAGCCTGGTGGGTACAGGCTTTGTCTAGAGTCCCCCAAGGTACAGCTTAGGGTTTGGCTAAGCAAGTTGGCGGGCGCAGTAGAACTGCTACTCAGTACTCCTCAGTGTTTCTAAAAGGTTGCTTGCTTTAAGTAATAGAAAACGTGGCTTTGAGAAGTTGCTGGTAGGAGCTGGCGTCTGTAGAGCAGAAACAGTGAGATCATGGTTAAGCTTCAGCTGTACGCTGACGTGCACACTCATCTGTCTTGCTGCCTTTATGACCTTGGGCAAGTTCCCGAAAACCTCTGTTTCTTTGTGTGTGAATGATACTGCCCCCCGATGGGATTTTTATGACTATTAAAAAACAGTACAGTGGGGCTGGGGATTTAGCTCAGCGGCAAAGCGCCTGCCTGGCAAGCGCGAGGTCGTGAATTCGGTTCCCGGTACCGGAGAAAAACCAAAAAAAAAAAAAAAAAAAACAGTACAGTGAGCAGCATGGTGTTGGGCATTTCTCTTTTTCTATTTCTGTGAATGTAGCTCTCCCAGTTCAGGTACATTATCAGTCTAGCAGAAAAGACAGATTAGCTCTGCAGATTCATTTGAGTGCACCAGTATGTATCAAAAAAGGGCTGCAGAAGAACGTTTTGAAAGACAAACCGCGTGAAACCCAGTAATTTTCCTGCTCCTCTGCTTGTTCCCCAGGTTTCTCCATATTGCGGTGGCCCAAGGCAGAAGAGCCCTTTCCTATGTTCTTGCAAGGAAGATGAATGCGCTGCACATGCTGGACGTTAAAGAGCACAACGGACAGGTGCGTGGAGACGGCCGTGAATAACGCCCCGTGTCGTGCAGGTTGTGTCGGTGCTGAAGGTCAGGAGACTTAGTTAATATTAACTTTGAGATAGTGACTTGCCAGCATCAGCCTTGAAGTTATTAATGTCAACTTTGTAGTTACAGAATCCGAGAGCGTGTGTAATTAAGCCACTCCCTAAGCTTGTTTTAGGTTCCTGGTCTTGTAGTGTTGGGTTGCTTATTGATAGGATGCATTCTCTCCGGGGGGTTGCGTTTCATGCTCTTTGTTACGGCGACGTTGCACGTCTAAGAAGTCTTCTCCTTGGACGCCCACAGAGCGCCTTCCAGGTGGCAGTGGCCGCCAACCAGCATCTCATCGTGCAAGATCTGGTGAACCTCGGGGCCCAGGTGAACACCACGGACTACTGGGGACGAACCCCGCTGCACGTCTGTGCCGAGAAGGGCCACTCCCAGGTGCTTCAGGTGAGAGGCAGCGATCCCGGGTCCAGGACACAGGGCGTGGGCCTTGCAAGTGGCCCGTGTCTTGCCTGTTGCAGTGATCTGCTTTGAGCTGCTGTGTTCATTTCTTGGGATACTAGGCGATCAGGGTCTGTGTACCCGTCTGTAGCTGATGGTTGTGTGCTTTGAACTTGCGCAGGCGATTCAGAAGGGAGCGCTGAGGAGCAATCAGCTTGTGGATCTCGAGGCAACTAACTATGACGGTGAGTAACTGAAGCTTGATTGGATAAACACCGCGTGGGAAGTGCGACCCGTGTGATCTCAGAGCGTTCAGTATCCTATTAAAAAGGAAGGGAGGGATGAAAGGTGCAGCGTTCTGTATGTAAACATAGCACTGAACCCTAACAGAAGGCACATTCCGATTGCCTTGCTGGTTTTTGTGGAGCCCGTTTATCGGTAAAGCGAGGGACCGCCGCCCTCGGGATTTGTTCTGGTAGAGTGACCGAGCTCGCGGGCGGGGCTGGCCTCCCCCGCCCCCTCCCTGCAGGCCTGACGCCGCTCCACTGCGCGGTCCTGGCGCACAATGGCGTGGTGCACGAGCTGCAGAGGAACCAGCAGCCCCGCTCGCCCGAAGTGCAGGAGCTCCTGCTGAGGAACAAGAGTCTGGTGGACACCATCAAGTGTCTGCTTCACATGGGCGCTTCCGTGGAGGCGAAGGTAAGCTCAGAGAGGGCAGACGGAGGCTGCCGTGCGAGCCCGGCTCCCAAGTAGAGGCAAAGCCTTTCTCGTGCTTGCTTGTGAGTGGTGTGAGCAGCGCTGTGCAAGTAGTTAGGTATACATTTCAAAAGCGCCTTCAGTCTGCTTTCTTGCTTTGCTTGTAATTTATAAATGATTACTATCCAAAATGATCCTTCCGCTGTGAGTAAATGAGTCCTTCTTTGAAAGGAAAAGAAATGCTCAAAAGTGATGTCATTCTGGCTTCGATTTTCCCATGCTGAGAGACACTGCTCTTTGTAAGGGTTCCTTCTGTGTTGTGGGATTTGGGTGTGATCTGTTCTTAGACTGGAGAATACGTCATTCTTCTCAAGTCTGGGCTTACTTCCCGAGTGTCTCCTGCGCGCTGTGTCTCCAGAGCACCGTGTTAGCGGGGTGCCTGCGGGGCGCTGCCTGGCAGTGCCAGGGCGCGAGCGGTCCCGTTACCGCTGCACACGTGGCCGCCGGCTCTGAACGCAGAGCACCCGCTGTATCACGCTCAGTACTGTTTACGTCTTTGCGTTTCGTGGCCGCCGCGTACACACGAGCAGCCCGTGGTAAGAGCCAAGAGGACAGACTGACAGGGCGTTCGCGAGGAGGAAGAGAGTCTGTTGAGCGTGGGCGTCAGGAAGGCTTGGCCGAGAGGGAGGCACTCAGGATAAGTTTGAAGGCTGGCGAGACATCCGGGGGCAGGGTGAGAAGAGTGTTCTAGGCGTGGAATCTGAACTGCCTTGCACCCTTTCTTACCTTTGACAAGGACCGCAAAAGTGGCCGCACAGCCCTGCACTTGGCCGCTGAAGAGGCGAACCTGGAGCTCATCCGCCTCTTCTTGGAGCTGCCCAGCTGCCTGTCTTTCGTGAATGCAAAGGTAAGGTACTTTCAGGACGTGCCATGGCGCAGACTGGGAGTGGCCTTCTTCAGGCTCGGGCTCCTTCCGTGGCCGCCCCGCCGCCTGGCGCGTTACCGCGCTTCTGTGTCTTCAGGCTTACAACGGCAACACCGCGCTGCACGTGGCGGCCAGCCTGCAGCACCGGGTGGCGCAGCTGGACGCCGTCCGCCTGCTGATGCGGAAGGGCGCGGACCCGAGTACCCGCAACCTGGAGAACGAGCAGCCCGCGCATTTGGTTCCCGACGGCCCTGTGGGCGAGCAGGTGAGGCCCGGCCGGGAGGGGCTGCGGCAGGCCCCGCTCAGCAGGCTGCTGGGGTGGGCACCGCGGCCCTCTGCAGGTGCCCACCCTATCACGGCGGCTGCGGCAGTGTTGTGGAGTTGCTTCGTTTCCAAGGGAAGAGTTAAGAAATCTGGGGCTTTATCCGTGGACCCGGGAGAAAGTCCTTTTCTTTCTCTCCATGGACAAACTTGGGTTCAGACTGGAGTTAAGTCAGAAGGGTTCAAGGTTTGGAAGTTGATGAAAGAAAAGGTACTAAGTAAGGTTCCTGCAGATACCATGGAAGGAGAGTCTTAGTTTTGCAAGTGGTGAGGCTTCAGACCTGGTGGGTGTTGGATGAGTTGATATCTAGAGAACGTTCAGAAAATTGCTAGGCTCATAGTAAATGCTCAGTGAACGTCAGCTGTTAAGATTAGTTCTGTGTACTGTGCAAAGTGATACTGCACAGGAAATGCAAAGCCTATATATATAATTTGGAACCTAGAAGCAGTTTTTTTTTTTTCCTGTTTTTGTACCAGGAATTGAACTCGGGAGCTTGTGTTTGCCAAGCAAGGTGCTGCGCTGCTGAGCTAGATCCCTGGCCTCTGTTTTTTGTTTTGTTTTGAGATAGGGTCTTCCTATGTAGTGCAGGCTGGCCTTGAACTTGCTTATGTGGCCCAGGGTGGCCTTGACCTCCTGGCAATGCTCCTGCCTCAGCCTTCTGAATGCTGGGGTTACAGGCATGTGCCACCATGCCTGGTGAGACATGTTTTGTACCTTAAACAAAATTATGCTTTCCCAATCAAATGTAGTTATGTGCTATCATCGAGGATTGATTAGTTTCTTGTGAACTTTCTAGATAATAAGAATTTAAGCCTTCAGAAATTACAGTGTTTTTGATGGAAGTCGTTTCCTGGTGTAGGGGAAATCAGAACATGAGTTTGGTCGTTGTATTATTAGTTAACAAATAAAATATATGAAATGCGGTTTTAACTTCTGTGATTCCTAAGCTGTCGTGATGACCATAATGTTATGGCAATTCCTATTTGTAAAGCTCCTTACAACTTAAATTTCTTGATAGTTTACCACTTAGTAGTTTGTAGTAAAGGGGCTGGGGATTTAGCTCAGCAGCACAGCACCTGCCTGGCAAGTGCAAGGTCTTGAGTTCGATTTCTGGTACAAAAAAAAAAACCAGTGTGGAGTAAATGGTCAGAAAGTGGACAGAGAAGTTCCCAGGCCAGAAGGCTTCATGAGCGAATGGGTGGCAGTGTCCTGAGCCGGCGTCTGCTTCCGCTGTACTGCCTGTGGCGTGCAGCAGTGGAGCCGGCCCGCAGCGGTCACTGAGGTGAGGGGGGCCCGTGTCTCTGCAGTGAATGCCTTGCATTGCTCCCCGCTTCGTTCTGGGTGTGTCGGTGGGGGAGAGGCTCTTTCCCTTGCTTTTATTACCGCCCTACACTTATGGGTGTGAGTTTTTTTTTTAGCAGCTATCAGGTGTACTCTCCACCTCAGGCCTCTTTTTCTAAATTGTCTGTTTTAGTCTATTGTAGTCTGAGAGCAGGAGAATGAAGTTGTCAGACTGAGCCATTCAATCAGTACGCCGTCATCACGTTCTTAGATTAATGTTCTTAAAAATAACATAAGATTAGGAAAGGAATGTATAGGCCTCGTTGAAGTAATTGGAGATTTTCAACTTCAGACGGTTTTTATTGCACTCAAGGATCATTATTGGAGATCTGAAATTAACTTTCACTGGAGCTGTATTTTCAAGTCATTGAAGTCTCGACAAATATCGTGCATATTTTCCATAAGTTTGTAAGTTAGGAGTGTAGAGTTTGTAAGTTAGGTGTAGAGTACAGTGGTACCTCGGTTCATGAACACTTTTATCTGTGAACAGCTTGGTTTACAAATGAACATTTGGCAAGATTTTGTGTTCACAAAGTCTGTATCAGGCGACAAACCTGCGTAAGCGTTACATACAGGTGGCCATTTTTTCCAAAATCGTGGAACCAACTGTTCGTGAGCCGAGGCAACACTGTGTACAGGGAAGGGATGAAACTCGGAAGGAAAGATAGCACTTTGACCGTCAGAAGTAAGCCGCACAAGCCTAGCATTATGGCATAAGCCTGAAATCCTACCAGTCCGGGAGGCTGAGGCAGGAGGATCTCAAGTTGAAGCCCAGCCTCGGCAGCTTAGTGACTTAGGAAGACCGTGTCTTAAGATTTAGAAGAAAAGAAAAAGGCCTGGGAAGCAGCTCAGTGTAAAGGCTCAGTTCCCGGTAATGCAGCGGTCGCTCAGCCAGGCTTACCAGCCCTGCTTCTTTCTCTTCCAGATCCGACGTATCCTGAAGGGAAAGTGCATTCAGCAGAGAGCAGCACCGTATTAGCTCCACTGTTCGGAGCCGGTCGGCCACACTCACTGTCAGTTAGGCAGTCCTCACGTATCTGTACATAGACCATTTGCCTTGTACTGGCAAATGTAAGTTGTTTCTATGAAACAAACATATTTAGTTCACTATTATATAGTGGGTTATATTAAAAGAAAAGAAGAAAAATGTCTCATTTCTTTTGGCAGATTTTGCATATTTCATACCCAAGTATTTGGGATCTGGACATTTGAATTTGATGAGTGGGAAAATCCTTAAATTAACAGTAGTGTTTGGGTAGGAAAAGACTTTGATTTGTGGTGTAAGGCACTGCTCACAGAGCTGCTGCCAGTTGCAAAGCAGAGGAACTCCGAATGTTTCTTTAAGAAAAATGAAAGCGTTTGAAAGGGAAAAAAATAATCCAGGTATAGGGGTTAGGCTTGTTTTGGGCCGATGCAATACCTGGCAGTTACTGGCACTGACAAATTTGTAGTTACCGGGCTGGATGAGAGGCATCTGTAGTTAGGATTTGACCTTCGCAAACTGTTTAAATTGTTATTTTTTGTTTTTAAAAATGTTGTACATATTTGGTCAGTTACATGGACATTTGAAATGTGTACAGCAATAAATGGAAAAGAAGTGAATTGTCACTACTTTTTAAAATTGTACACATTCGAAGGAGCTATTATCGTGTAATCACCCAGCTAAAATCTTCGTAGATAAGGCAAATGGGGACTTGCTCCCTAATTAGCTGAAAGAACTACTGATGTGTTTGAATTGTACATATGCTTCTTCTCATGGACTGAACTGAGACACATTACTTGTAGATTATTGCATGCTTTTGAAGAGAACCTCTATGAGTTACTCACCTTCTAGAAATTATAAATTCTTGTGAAATTTTGCTTTTTATGTTGAAGCAGATCTTCCTATTTTCTGTTTTCAATGGTCATGTTTCATGATTATATTATTATTTTAAAATGTTTTATTTTTAAAATGTTAATTCTATTAACATTGTTTTGCTTACCTCTGGTATGCCCCAAGGAATGTATTTGGCTTTGATTGTACACTAATTGTTTGTGATAAATATAATTAATTAAAAATCTTTTTAAAAAATGATGTCTTAAAAATGACTAACTTACTGTCTTTGTAGCTAAGATCTTTTTGAAAAGATAAAAAAGACACCCTTTGGATTGATCCCGTTGTTCAACCCAACCCAGTATGTCTTGTGGACAAAAGTTTGGTATAGTTAGTTGGTATGAAGAAATAAGAGAGGTGAAAACCAGTCCAGTCACAGTAAAAAAAACTCATGGTTAGTTTTATTTTATTTTATTTTTATTTTAAAGAGAATTTAAAAAAATAGCAAAATGCCAACAACATAGACAAAAACAAAACAAAGCAAAAACAGAAAGAATGATGCAGGGTTTCAGAACAAAATGATAGGGATTAACAGTGGTGGTTACATTACATATTTTTATCTTCATTGAAGTTGCTCAGATGTATGAATGCAAGATTAATCAAACCTTTAAAGAGAATAAAAAATAATAACAAAAAAATTATAAACAGTACAGTTTCACCAAACAAGATGGGAGGAATTCAACAATGGTGGTTATATTCCATACTGTTGTCTCCAAATTAGTTGTTCAGATTACCAGATAAGCATGCAAAATTGGTCAATAAATAAATAAAGCATTAACTGTTCCTTTCAATAAACCATTAGACAGTTGTCCCAACTATCCTTCAGCATACATACATACATTTTCCCTTCCCTCTTTCTTTCCTTTTCTTCTTTCCCTCATCCCAGTTGTTCCCTCTTTTGAGCAATTTCTTTCCCTTCATAATATCTACTGTACGTTTTGGGTTTTATTTACTCTTTGATATTCTTATAGTAGGGAGACTGTACAATGTTTACACAAGTGGGTCTGATTTATTTCACTTATGAGTATGGTCTCTTTGTATCCATTTACCTATAAAAGCCTCAAGTTTATCTTTTTATACTGCATAATACTCCATTGTATAGAAGTACCACATCTTTTTTATCCATTCCTCAGTGGATGGGCATTTGGGTTGTTTCCAAGATTTAGCTATGAAAAATTGTGCTGCTATAAACATGGGTGCACATATATCGCTGTGGTATGATGTTTTTGATTCTTCTGGGAAAATACCCAGAAGGAGAATAGCTGGGTTGAGTGGGACTTCCAATCCTAGTTTTGTGAGGAATCTCCACACTGATTTTCACAGTGGTTTCACCAGTCTACACTCCCACCAGCAGTGGAGAAGCGTTCCTTTTTCCCACAGCCTCTCCAGCTTTTGTTATTGGTTGATTTCTTAATGATAACCATTCTTTCTGGGGTGAGATGAAATCTCAGTGTTGTTTTAGTTTGCATTTCTCGAATGACCAATGATATTGAACATTTTTTCATATATTTATTCTCCATAGTATTTCTTCATCTGAGAAGTGTGTATTCATCTCAGAAGCCCATTTTTGGATTGAGTCTTTGAATTTTGGGGGCCTGATTTTTAAAAATTCTTTATATGTTCTAGATAGAAGTCCTTTGTCTAAGAGGCAGTTGGCAAACAATACACTAATTTGTCTTAAGGATAGGCATTTTCCTTTTTGTGCCTTATTTTTATTCTTGTATGTAGAAAAAATACTATTAATGGAAAATACTAATACTTTTAAATTACTAAATATATTTTATTTATTTATTTTTTGTGAGTATGTGTTTGCCATATATAATGAGTACATTCATCATGGGGAGTTGGTACTTAATATATTTTAACTTGTACTTTTTTGATTACATGTTTTCACAAAGTATGTAAGATTTAACAACAGAACTACTTGCTAAGTTCATTAGTAGAGATTTGTTAAGTTCTGAGAATATCATGGAAGTTTAATACAGTCATCCCTTGCTATATCGTGGTTCACCTATTGCAGCTTCACTGTATCAGAGTTTTTTTTTTTTTTAAATCTAATTCTGTATCACAGAATTTTTATATCATGGGATTTTGTGGTATATAGGTATTTATGTAATATTTATCATTTTAATTATTTTTGCCTAAAAATTTTAAATATAAAAAGTTAATTCAAATGTATTAAAAGAATATTAAATCTAAAAATACAGTATGTATTTCATCAGCAGATGAAGACAGTACTGTACACAATGGAAATGCAGTACACCATTACCACTTGCACAAGTTTGCCCATGTGAGATCGTACGCGGCACACTATTGGCTGATGGAATGGAAGGTGACCAACCACAGCATTGTGTTCTCTGTCCTGGGCACTGATTGGCTCAGTGACTGCAGCCTCGGTCTGTTTGCTGTCCCGCACTGTGCCCATACGGTCAGCATCTCTCTTCGCCCACTTCACATCGAGTACCCGTGTGGAATTTTACATGTTAAAATTCCGTAGGTTTAAGGGTGTAGAAAGTGTTTAAGAGCATATGAAGTGTTTATGAGTGTGGGAGAGGTTAGTAAGAGAGTGGGAAAGGTTTATAGGAGTGCGGGAAGGGTTTATAAAGCCTTAAAATAGATATAAATAGTAAAACATAATGCCGCCACCTCGCGGATTTTCACCTGTCTTGGGGGTCTCTGGAACTCAACTCCCGGGCTAGGTGAAGGACCACTGTGTGTAGTGTGGATCAGTAAGAAGTGTATCCACTAAAACAAGCCAAATGGGAGCAGTGACCACAGCAAAACCAGTTTGGAGATGACCAGTATCATCCTGAGAGAGGACATCTGGGGACAGCAGTACATGAGGGTCTTCCTACACATGCCATTTTGACCCATGTGAACACCCAGATCCATGTTTAACACCAATCATAGTTACTACACACAGAGCTTAGTTACCAGCTTAAAACTGCTGCTGAGAATCTGATGGAAGTGATGAATTCTTTCCCTAGGAAGCACACAAGTGGTACCGTGATTCACAGCCTGCTCCCTTCATGATTCTGGTTGCAGACTGAACTGGACAAGAACTGAATCAGATGTCCCCATAGGGTCAGTGCTGACCCTAAGCGTTGAATTTGCTTTGGTTCTCGTTCAACTCTGTGACCAGAATCACCGAAGAGTCGTTTGTGTCCAAGGCACCACTGTATGAGCACATCATATGCTTTCATCCTATGAGGTACGATACAAGCAGGGAATGCTTAAAGGTTTACTGCAGTGAGAGACTCATTGTATCGGGGCTTTGCCCAACCCCAATCTCCTAAGTGAGTAGATGGTGAACAGCTTAAAGGGACAAGTGATGAGATTTTTAGGCTCCAAGAAGGTCAGTAACCCTCTAATGGAATTTGAGATTCCCTGGGAGTTGAGACAAAGACCTCTGGGTGGCCTGTGTTTATTTGGTTTTCAAACAAACGAGGGAGATACTGAAGCAAGCATGGGAACTGAGCAGGACCTCGGGAGTCAGTTCAAAGACTTCTCCAACTAGTAAATTTTACTAATTAGGAGACCTGTCTTATCTCTAAGCTTGGCAGCTTTATTCCTCTGGAAGAGGGGCTCTCAGCAGCCCGCGTCCTTGGCTGCCTCCGCAGTGGTGTTATCTTGACTTCAGGGCACCATGCATACGCTCCTAACACAGCCAGGGGTCCCTGTGTTCAGCACCTTAACTCTGTACAGCCGGGTCTCCACCAACATTGCAGTTAACTCCCCTCCAAAGAACTCTGCTTCTAACACACTGCGTCACTCTCGCCACTTTCTGAAGCCGCTCTGGAGTCCTCTTTCCTGAGTGCCTTTAGCTGCACTCTTGTGGCTGCCTCGGTGTCCTGAATCAATTCAAAACATTTACCTTTATTGGTCATTTTGACTTTGGTGAAGAGTGAGAAGTCTAAAAATGCTGGATCTCGTAAGGTGGGTGAAGACACCAATACCTTTACAAACCTACGTTTTCCCGCTGGACGGTATTCAGCCGCAACATCCACTGAATTTTTGGTCACACCTTGTAAAAACACAAAATAGGACCTCCAGAATTCCTTAGGCAGTGGCAACAATGGCGAAACAAGCATGTTCAAAGCTGAGGAGTGTTTTGAGGGGGGTTAGTGACAACGTGTCTTTTCCTGTAACAAAGTTTTTCAAATTTGTGCATTCACTGTATACGGTAATCACACTTCGTGGAGTGTATACGCAAATGTGGTATACGATGTCAGGGACACCAGGGTCTCCAGAAGATCATGACTCCTAGGCTGAGAATCTCCTTTAGTTCAATTTCTGTGCAATCTAAGAGAATTTTTTTATATAAATGAAATCTTAAGGGTTTATTTATTTTTCATTTTTAAATTTTTTTCTGGTACCGGGAATCGAACTCACGACCTTGCACTTGCGGGGCAGGCGCTGTGCCGCTGAGCTAAATCCCCGTCCCTACGGGTTAATTTGCTTTGCATGTTCTGATGATAAACAGAGCAGTAGAAATGACGTGCCCTATTGAACATCACTGTGTATTGAGCTTTTCCCAGCTGAGCTGCTATGGTGTCGCTTAATCCCAGATTCTCATAATTATTCAGTTGAACCAGTGTGTACAATTTGTGTGTGTGTGTGTGTGTGTGCACATAAAGATGAGTGATAAACAATATTAGGCAAAGATAAGATTTCTTAGTCTTGGGATGTTTATGTGTTAGAAATGTTTTATTAGAGTATTATGTTAAGTACCATAAAGAGGAAAAGCTACGGAGATTCAGAAGAGGAATGCATATGAAAATGTATGCCTAACTAGGACGAATTCAAGGTGGAGAATTTGATCTAGAGCTTCAGGAGGGTTGATTGGCTGGTGAAAGAAAGGGAAAACACAAGAAGCAAGGCACAGTATTTTGTAGGAACAGGTGATCAATGCAGTTTGCTTAGAATCCAGGATTGCTGTGAATAAATTTCATCTTGTGTTCACCTCCGGCCACATTCTCGTAAGTACTATGTTGAGAAAGACCATCAGGCTTGCCAGGCCCCTCCCCAAACTTCCCGAATCAGAATTTCCAGGGTTTTCAGGGCCTCTAACTGGTGTTTGTAAAAATGATTCCAGTGCACAGTTTAGTCTAAATTAATTTGTACATGTAGACCTCTAGGAGCAGCTGTGGCTGGGCAGGATTTTGGTAATGACAGAACGGGTTGCTGGAACGCCCCAGGGG